ATTTAATACATGATTTGTAAAATATTGACTGAATTTAATCGCATGGCAGAAAAAAAAAAAAAAAAAATACAGTTCTTAATTGTTCTTCGTGCACCCGTGCTTTCAAATTCAAAATTGATATGTATTCCTCCAAAAAAATCATAAATTATGAACAAGAACTTCTGAACAACACCTTTACGATCAATCACCCTAAAATTTTACAAAAAATGATGCCTTCTTTCGCTTGAAATCAGTGAAATGGTGGAAACCCTAAAACTCACTCTTCCAAATTTTTTTGATAAAAAACGGTGCTTTTTAATTCGTTTTATTGACTGAAATGGATGTGAAATTTGAATTAAAGCCTCCAAGATTCATTTAAAAGGCTGAAAAGGTGAAAAACAATAACAAAATGACAACAAAAAATGAAATCCCGTGAAGAACGCTGTGGAGCCTGTGTTCTTGGCTGTGACTCGGTCTGACTCACGATTCACTGCTGGGAATCGCCCGGTTCTCTTTGGACAGGGGCGATTCCCGATTTATTCGTGGAACCGGCTTAGTTGCAGACGATTCTCGAGTCGAACCGAGCAAGTCCGGCTCGACTCGACGAGTTTTCAAACACTCGTTTGCATACTTTAAATCTTTGTGATGGTCCAAACATATATATGAACACTAGAAAATTTGAAAATTAATGGGTCCAAAAAAGTATGAAAAGATGTACTATTTTTCAAGATTTAAAGTTTATTTTTGTCATGTCTATACTTGAGATCCTGACAATCGATTTGAGAAATTTTCATATTCTAAACAACATCTTCTACGAATTTTTGGGGTCTTAATTTGATTGTTTAGGGGCTTCGCCCTTACATGAACTTTTTCCTATATTTTAGGGAGGAGGTGTCCTTTCAAATAAGAAAAAGGGTCGTCATCCATTAGAGAGTTATCGATCGACTTTTCTGACGTGTCGTACACCAACAATGACCGACCTCCGCGTGTGACAGAACCTAGATTTCTTAAATTACTGTTATACATCTCGCTGTTCTTAAATATCTCGAATTATGCCCTTGCAAGGACCTAGATTCCTTAGATTACTGTTATACCCCTCGATCTTGTTATAAACGGCCGCCAAGATTTGACTTATCGTAGGGAAAGTCATCTTTATGTTTGAAAAGAAAAAAGTTTACATCGAGAGGAGGCTCTAAACAATCAAATTCGAACCTATCTCAAAATTTTCATATGACGTTGTTTTGTTGCTTAAATATCTTCAAATTGATCATCTTAATATGGATACAAGTAAAAAATAGATTTCAAGTTTTGAAAATAGTGTATCTTATAATGTATTTTTTTACTGTTAATTTTCAAGATTTTCAAATTTTTATAGATCAACTCAATCTATACTATTTTTTAAGCTTTATATTTTGTAATTGAAGATAAAAATATATTTTAATGCTATCTCAAAAATTTTCAGCATTGAAATGATATTTCTTGACACTATTTGAAAGTAGGCTCTAATTTGATTGTTTAGAGCCTAGGCTTTATACAAACTACACCCATTTGAAAATACCTCTTCTTTTATTCTAAATGACATATAGACTATTGCTACAGTACAGCCAATCACTCCACTCTCGTACTTGGGATGGCTAGGAGAACTGGCGAACCAGAATTCATATAGCCCCTAAATAATTGAAATAACGTTATGATGATAATGATATAGATAGGTGCAATTTTAGGATGTAGCTTTATCAACCTAACTAAATATGAACTTTATATGTGATAAAGTCTTGAAAAGAAGAGAATGGGATTGGGTCGTAGTGGTAGCACTACGTGTGTCCCAACTAAAGTTTAGGTTTTTATTCTCACCTAGTGCCTTCAAAAACAACTACAACGATTTAGAAAATGGGTAGGGGCTCATCATCCCCAAAAAAAATAGTCTTTAAAAGAATATAGTAGAATGGTGGATCGTGATTCATATAGCTTATGAGAATTCATACCCTAAATAATTGAAATAACGTTATGATTTTAGGATGTAGCGTTATCAACCTAGCTAAATATGCACTTCAAATGTGATAAAGTTTTGAAAAGAATATAGTAGAATGAAGCTTTATCAACCTAGCTAAATATGCACTTCAAATGTGATAAAGTTTTGAATAGAATATAGTATATCAACCTAGCTAAATATGCACTTCAAATGTGATAAAGTTTTGAAAAGAATATAGTAGAATGAAGCTTTATCAACCTAGCTAAATATGCACTTCAAATGTGATAAAGTTTTGAAAAGAATATAGTAGAATGATGGATCGTGATGCGTGTAGCTGATCTTAAATAGTTAAAAAAATATTATAATGATAATGATGATGATCATGATAATGATGATACCACATATACTTATAATAAACATGTATTGGGGAGCAAATTGAGAATGTAGCCGCATCAGCCTACCTAAAATATGCACTTTAGATGTGAAAGTGCTGGAAAATATGCGAGCTCTTACTTAAGGGCAAGCTTTCTATGCTTCCCCTACAACATAAAACTTATATATTTCCTCTTATCCAACCCTCCATTCTGAATGGAGGGCTAAGATTGCCCCCATTACAATGTCACTTCTCTATACTATTTTATTTTTAAGTTTTTTATTTTTATAAATTACTTTGACACCAAATTTTGTACATCTAATCCTCTATTAAACTCGCACTATCAAAAAATATAAAAAGACATAATTTCAATAAAATAAAATAACCAAAATATCCTTGAAAGTTTCAAAGGGTATTTTGGTCATTATATTTTATCAAAAAATTATTTTTAATATTTTTTATAGGTGTAACCCAATGAAAAAATGACACATACCAAATTTCATATTCATACAATTTGTATAAAACAAACTAAAAATAACATACTTTAAGATGCCAGATCTAAGAACAAACAGTGAGTGGCTTCTTGATCAAAATTAAATGACCGGATGGTAGGGAAATCATAGATCTTCAGAGGAAGTATAGAAACCTTTCCCCATCTTTAAAAGGGTGACTACATTGGGTCATGGCCCTTCCCCCTCTCTCTAGAATCACTAATACGCTTTCTCTCTCTCCCTTCTCTTCCTCTCAATATTCAAACTTTTTTGGTCATGTGATTTTCCTCTTTTATTTTGACCTTACTTTGATAACATTGCAAAACATGACAAGGCTTTGACTGGCTATTGATGGGGTTTTTTATGGTCCTTCTCTCTCTCGCTCTGATGTATTATATATGAGTCAGGTTTTTATAAGGTAACAGTTTCACATTGTTAAAGTAATGTGTGCTTACAAAGCATTGTAATGATATAAAAAATCTATTGGTACCTCTAATTATAAATTTTAAAATTTTAAAAATAATTATGATCAAGCAAATTTAAAAACATTTAAAAATTTAAAAAATAAATGTTCTATATAATGTGTTATAAGATGAATTATTTTTAAGACTAAAACTCTTATTTTTTTATGTCTATAAATCTCAATCAAAATGATCAATTTGAGGGATTTCCTGCATAAAAACAACCTCTCTAATTATCTTTTAACTGGACCTTACTTATAAAGAAAAAAGTTGACACTTTATATAAACTTTTTCCATTATTATAAAGGTGCACGTGATCTTGGCCTCGTCCCGTTTGAGTAGGAGAAAAAGGTGACAAATTTGGTCACCACTTCAAGCATCTTCGGCTCTTCCATTGGCTTTTTCTTGCTTACATTTCAAGCACAGGATCATATATGCACGTTAAAAGATTATATGTTCCTGCGGGACCATATGCTACATTGGAGGAGTATTTTTAAGGATCCAAGACGTTTGAGGATGTAACCTCTTAAATCGAGTCATTTTTGTTTTCTTTTTAATAACTTGTGACCCCTAAAGTTAGTCTACTGAACATAGAGAAAGACATGTGGGCTTTATATAAAAAGACCAAGAATTTTGGCACAATCATGTCTAAATGTTTAAAAGATGCAGTTGTTATAAGGCCAGAGCTTTATAAGATAAAGTAAAGCCTCACTTGAAATTCATTTTGGGCGTTGAAATTCTTCATGATGGCTCTAAAATCAATTTCTAACACCGATTATGAAATTTGAAGTTTAAAAAATAATACACATTTGACATACTTATCTTGAAATACTTATTTTTAGGGTAAAATAAACAGTCAAGATAATATGTTATGATATATACTATTTTTATTACTTGAAATCTTAATTTTTTCGCACAAGGTCGATGTCAAGATGATCGACTTGAAAGTTTTCTAACTCCGAGACTACAATTTACTCTAAGTTTTAATGCCAGACTGTACTTATTTAAATAGGGCTGACAGTCCTATTACATTTTCCATGTTTAAAAACTAAAAAATCTAACTTATTTTTGAATTACTTAATGGGAAAAGTTTGTATAAGGTTGCAACCTTATACTGTTGAGGAAAGGTGCATCTAAAAAATCCTACAGGGGAGAATGTTCCCACATAGGAGAACCTTCCAACTTATCATCTCAACCTTGAGATGAATGGGCATGAAGAAAAAAAAAATTTCAAATTAAAAAAATAGTACATCTTGTAAAACGTTATCTAGACCGTCTATTTTCAAGTGTTTATTGATCTGCTCAATCTGTATTATTTTTAAAATTTTAAATTTTCTAACTAAAGATAAAAAGAGATTTTTAAGCCACCATAAGATTTTCGAAGCCAAAACGACGCCTCTAAATAAATTTTATAGGTGCACCTGACTTGTACAGTATAAGGAGGCAACCTTATACAAACCTCGCCCTTACTTAATTGATAGATCCCAAAGTTTTGGATGAAAAGAAGCTCTCTAGAATTTTTCTTTCGCCCCAGGACTAGGTTTATAGTCTGCTCTAGCGGGAGTACACTATACAATATACATAAAGTTTTTCAAATAAAAGGGTATTTACGTCATTCACTCATATCCAAATCTCTCTCTCTCGCTCTCGCTTTCCCTCCAACCTCTCACCTGATTAAATCCGTTCCACATCAAGGACAATTCGGTCATTCTGTCTCCCTCCTTTTGCATGGTCGAAGTCCTTAAAAACCAGGACTTTCATGACGTGAAAACCCATTCTCTTCAGACTCCAATTCTCCATCGAAAAAAAAGACATTGTTCGAGGCTTGAAAGACCCAAAAGATGAAGAGTTCAAGCCCTAAAAGGAAGCTCCTGAGATTGAGATGTTCAGTTCAGAGCTATGATTGGGGAAAAGTTGGTGAAGATAGCGAAGTGGGCAAGCTTTTTTGCTTGAATTCAAAGATCCCAACCGAAAACAAGCCTTATGCTGAGCTTTGGATGGGTACTCATGGTTCGGGACCGTCTTTTATAGTGGATGATGACTCAGGTTCAGAGGCGTTGCTTCTCAAAGATTGGCTTTGGGAGAACCCGGAAGCCATCGGTGAAAGGGTTTTACAGAGATGGGGAAAGGAATTGCCTTTTCTGTTTAAGGTAAGGTGTTTTTCTTATTGTTTTGATATTTCCCTTTCTTTCTGTTTTCAGAATTTGTTTCGAATTTGATTTATCGATTTTGGGTTTCTTTGCTATGTGTTTTTCACTAGAGAAAACTTGTGTTTTGATTTTCAGTGGTAAGAATTGAGTTTTCTGTGATAGTTTGGATATCTGATTTTAGTTTAATTTCTGAGTCGGTTTTCCTTTCACGCAAATTTGATTGTCTCTGTTTCTCTTTTTCGTTTGGTTTTCCTTTTGGGTACCTCTTTCTCTCTCTCTCTCTCTATTCTGTTCTTCTTTGATTGAGATTTTCGGTTTGTTTCTTTTTATTTTAGTGTCATTCATGATTCTCTTTTATGCTGTGTAGATTAAATATCTTAAGAAAATTTCGACGTATTTATGCTCTCTGCATACTTGGAAATTTATGCGTTTTTTACTGGTCTTTATAGGGCAGTTCAGAATTTTTTATTTTGTTTATTTTTTGTTCTCCTAATTGTTTTCTGCGGATTTCATGTTTTTTAATGGAAGCTTAGATTTTTTTTTTCCTTCCCCTATGAGATTTTCTTTAATAGACATGTTGAATTATTCAGAACCTTATCTCAAGGTTCGGTGTTTAATCACTGTATTTCTTTGATACTTTGGATTTTCTGCACTTTCTCTATATGCGAGTCTCTCTCTCTGCTGTCGCATGGTGATCTACTCTGCTTTTCATTGTAAATTCAGTCTCTTTCCTTTCCTTTCTTGATGATTAGTTTCTGTTGCTTTTATTATTGTTGGTTTGTTTATTCATGTATTCGGGTTGTTTTTAATAATAACTCGTTAGCTCCATTTTTCCAGGTCCTTTCAATTGCCAAGGCTCTATCAATACAAGCTCATCCAGACAAGGAATTGGCTCAAGCTTTGCATAATTCACGTCCTGATATGTACAAAGACTCTAACCATAAGCCTGAGATGGCTTTGGCTCTTACGGAGTTTGAGGCCTTGTGTGGATTCATCAGTGTTGAGGTGATTATATGTACTTCTGATGGTCGACCCTAATTTCTTGGATGCGAAGATTTCTCCCTCTGGTTTAATTTTTTAATTGGTATATGATTTCCTCATTAATAATGGAGTTATTCAATTGTGTATATAAATTCCAAGCAAAAAAAAAGATACATGAGCATAGAATTTGAACTCAAACTTGCACTGTTGCCTATTCAAATCTGACTACTTCTGTAAATTTTTCTCTAGAATTGCCAAACTTCATGTTTTAATATTGCTTAAACCTTGTAATATTGTTTTTTTGAGCTTGAGTTTTGGATTGAAGTCTTGTTCTGGTTAGCCTTTTCTCTAGCAAATAAGCTGGATATTTCAATGTTTCAGAGTTCATCTTGTGCTGCAATCTTTCCTCGCTCTTGTTGGCAATCTTAGTTCTCCTCATTTTTTCTAAGAATGTATTAATTAGGAAATGCAATGTCAGGCTTCTTTTTTGTTTTTGTTGTTGCCAATTTTTGATTTAAGGAGTTTTCCTTCCATTTAGTAGAGGCAATGTATTCTTAGTCATCTAATGTCCACATTCAAATCTGTTTCATGCTTTATGCTTTCTTGTAGTTGATCTCTATATACTGGAGTTATTCCTACCATATCTATCAATGTGACTTTGATATTTTTGGCTTGATATCCTTCCTGAAGGATATGTATATTGGTTGCTTCTGTTGGTTTGCTCTCGTGATCTCATATCCATGTAAACACATGGATCTTTGACCATGTTTATTAAGTTTAGGAATAGAAACTAATGAATCTATATGTTACTATTAGAGCTGGAAGCCTTTCTTTTGAAATGGATTTTCTCTCAACCTTTGGAACACTTTTTCTTGCATATAATTGTACTCATTTATAGATGTTTGTAATTTATGTATGTTGTGAATCCGAGGAGAGAAACTTGCTTCTTTGGGAACAACATGGTAAAATTGATGTTGTGGTGTCCTCACATTTATTTATTTGTCAAATTTTTTATTTTGGTACTTGAGATAGATCTTAGAGTTTAGGAACCTAAATTCGTTAGAAATGTTATAAAACAAGGCTTGGACTTGGGACTCAGCAAGGTCCTGAGACTGAGTCATCCGTACAGACCCACAGAGTCTGTCAGGGGCATCAGAAAGTTTTCTGTGTTAGTTTCCATTTTAGAAGAGTTTGAATTATATTGCTGTGTTCTGGTTAAACCTTAAGAAAAAGTTGATTTTTGTTAAAATATGGGAGAAGCAGACATTCTTGTTTTGGTTGTACCTAAGATTTAATATGATAGAATTTCACAAGCTTTGGTTATTGCTGGAGAGAAATTGGGTTTTACTTGAAATAAATCATTTTCTTGTGTTTCAAAATTTTTCATGTGGACCTATTGCTACCATTGTCATGAGCTCTCAAGGGGACTATATAATCCATTGCGAGGTAGATGGTTTTGCTTATTGATTGAGATTATATTGTGGGAGTATGGAACTTAGATTTACTCTTCACTAATCCAGTTGTTTAGTTGAGGAAAATTATGTGAAATTCCCTACATATTCGAAGTTGAGTTTAAGTGTGAAGTTCACCTAAAAAAGCTGGCAAGATTGTGCCCTTGTGCCGAAATTGCAGGAGTGAAGTCAATATAGGATATGAGCTTAGTGAAAAGCTAAACTAATATACTTAATATGTTGAAAAGAAAGTTTTTATCCCCATATAATCTATACTGCATGTGCTAATTTTCCTTATATGTGTCAGTCCTTGGCAGTTAGGACCGTCCATTTTGTATAATTATATAAACCCTTAAGGTTTCTCTCTCTCTTCGTAAAAGCTAGAATCATTCCTCAGTCCTTGCACATGGTGTCCTAATGAATACGGTTTCCATGCACACAGGATAAAGCTGAATTTTTTTTTTCCTAACCTTAGTTTTCTGGCACATACATGATAAGGTTAACTTCCAATTACTGGATTTTCTTAGTTTTCTGTTTTCTCAAAGCAATAAATGTGATACCTACCTTTTTCTTTCTTTTTTTAGATTTTTAGTTGTGAATTTTTATGATTTAGAAGTAAATTATGTTAATTCAAAATAAGGATTTGAAAACTATTTATCCGAACAAAATAGAATCCTAATAAATGAAGATTCCTTTCACATATAGACTAAGATAAATTCCGAACTTTTGATTTTTAAATTTTATTCTTATTTTAAAATAAAAATTAAGGATTATGATATTCTTTATTTTTTATTTTCTAATTATGAACTTATGTTCTTAAGAAATAATAACTTATGAAATTTAAGAAAGGTTTTAACATATGCTTATTGTTGATTAATCTACTAGTTTTCTATATAACATATGTATATGAAAAGATCTAAATTTTCAACCACCTATATGCATGAAATCTCTCCTTAGAGCTAGTTCTTGCCTGAAGGCATATGTATTACACAGGTTCTGAGCTAGTTATCGCCAAATGTGCAATATGAATTAATGCTTACTTAAATTTCTAGCAGTAGATTGTAGTATATTGAGTGGGTTATTGGGCTACCCCATACTCACAATTGCAAAGTTACGTGACTGCTAAAAGTCAAAATAGTTTGTCAAAGTGACTTCCCTGACAAAGTAGCTAGGATAGTGAAAATGACTAATCCTTCACAAAGTAGCAAAGACTTGGCCATTATTGTTCCTTCGACAAGGGAGCTAAGGCACGGTTACTTCCATCCCTTCAATGGAAGTCATTGGCTTGTTGCCTTCATATACCATACACCCCATTGTCAACTCTTTTAATTTGATCTTAATTAAGATCTGTTACCTGACACGTTGTATGGCACTTGGGTGTAGTAGGAAATGAGCAAAGGTTAGCTAGGGCGTGTCTTGGAAGAGACATGCCGGAATGGTGCCTGTGGTAGTGATAAGTAGGCAAAGGTTCCCATATCATTCTGGACAAGTGCAGACAAAGAAACTAATCCAAAAGAATACGATTCGTCTAGCCACATGGAATGTATGAACTCTAACAGATAAGAGCATAGAGTTAGTCGATACAATGAGACAGATGAGAGCTGTATATTAACTAGCCCACAGGAAACTACGTGGAAAGGGGAGGAAGCTAAAGAAAGTGATAGATATAAACTTTGTTATATAAGAAACGATATTAATAGAAATGACGTAGGCATTATAATATATAAAGATTTATGGGATATAGTAGTTAATATTAAGAGGGTAGGAGACATTCTCCTCTTAATTACACTTGTGTTAGAGGAGAAGATAATTAATGTAATTAGTGCTCATGAGCCACAGGTAGTACTAGAGGATAGAATTAAGAGACAATCTTGAAATGACATTGATGGACTGGTCCAAGAAATATTAAATGGAGAGAGGATTTTTTAGGAGGGGACTTAAATGGTCATGTCAGAAAAGATAGTAGAGGACATGAAAGGGTACATTGCGGATTAAGAGTGAGGATCAAAGGGTCTTGGTGAAGACAATGATGTCAACGAAAGGTAATTTATTTTAAAATTGTTAAATGACGAACACTGTGGGAATGTGGCTCTAGGAGGAACCTTTGACATAGATGAGGACGGAGGTCATAGATATATTCGCAAGATTAGGATATTTGAATTAAAAGAGCTTTGAGAAAGATGAAGATAGGAAACACTTTAAGACCAGATGCTATCTTAATAGAGGTTTAGAAATGCATGGGGGGAGATTGGCATATGCTGGCTGACCAAGTTGTTCAACAAGGGGTTTAGAACAAACAAAATGTCAAGTGGATGGAGACAAAGTACTATGGTACCTATTGACAAGAACAAAGGAAACATACAAAATTGTACGAAATATTAAGGGATCAAACTTGTGAGCCATACTATGAAACTGTGGGAGAGTGATTTAGCAACGACTAAGGCATGTATTAGAAAATCAGTTTGGTTGGATGCCAGGGAGTTTAACGATTGAGTTCCCTTTTCATACTAAGGCAACTGATTGAGAAGTTAAGGGAGAAGGGAAAAGACCTCTACTTGATCTTTATGGATTTAGAGAAAGCAATCGACAGAATATCTGGATATTTAATTTGGTCGGTGTTAGAAAAGAAAGGAGTCTCCAGATTCTATATTAAGATGATGAAAGATATGTATGAGGGAACACTAACTAATGTGAGGACAACTAGTGGAGAGACAAGTGAATCTTCATTGACAATAGGCCTACATCATGTCATCGGTGAGCCCATATCTCTTTGTCTTGGTTATGAATGAGTTAACTAGGCATCTACCAGATAATGTACTCTGGTGTATGTTGCTTGTGGATGACATAGTTTTGATTGATGAGACTATAGGAGATGCCAACGCAAAGTTAGAACTTTGGAGGATGCTCTTGAATTTAAATGTTTTATAATTAGCCGCACTAAAGAAGAATTATGAAATACAAGTTTAGTAATAATAGGAGTGTAAATGAGGAAGTAGTTAAGATTGATGACCAAGAAATACCTAAAAGTGATTATTTGCGATATCTTGAGTTGATAATTTGGGAGAAAGGAGCGATGAGGAAGATGTTGCTCATAGAATTAAAGTGCGAAATGGAGATGTGCATCCGGGTTTTTATGTGATCCCTACATACCAATGGAATTAAAAGGGTAGTTTTATAGGACAATTGTAAGACCAACCATGCTTTGCAGGATAAAATGTTAGGCAGTCAAGAACAACATACCCACAAGATGAGTGTAGTTGAGATGAAGATGTTGAAATGGATGAATGGCATGACAAGAAAGGATAGAATTCGAAGTGAATACATTTGAGGGGAACTTAGGTGTGACTGTAATAGGTGATAAGATGAGGAAAAATAGACCTAGGTGTGCTAGCTATGTGCATCGTAGACATAATACAACACCGGTTAGGAGGTGTGATTTGGTTCGAGTGGAAGACTCTAAAAAGAGAAGGGGAAGACCCAAAAGGACATGGATAAAAGTAGTGTGTAAAGCTATATTAGCTTATTGTTTTACTGAAGATTTGACCCTTGATAGAGTAGAATGGTGGAACATGA